AGTGTCCTCTTTAAAGATACCTTTAGCTTCAATGTTGTGGAGGGTTTTGCCGACCATGTCTTCAATGTACCAATGGACTCTGGTCTGATGTTGAAGTCTTTAATTCATTTTGGTCTGCCTTTTGTGCATAGTGTTAGGTAGAGGTCTGAGCCCATTTTTTTTTTTTTGCATGTAGCTGTCCAGTTTGCCAGCACCATTTGTTAAAGAGGCTTTCCTTGCTCCACTTCACATTTCTTGCTCCCTTATCAAAGATTAGATGGTCATATATTTGAGGGTGTGTGTAAGAATATTCCACCCTGTTCCATTGGTCTGCAGCTCTGCCTTTGTTCCAGTATCATGCTGTTTGAAAAACCACTTTTCAAAAGCACTTTTATACTTAAAATACTAAAAAGCCGTTTGACTTTAGTGAAGAATGTATTGAAAAATTTCCCATATCTTTAGCTATATGCTATAATAGAGTAGAGGCTGAAGAAACTAAAGTCACATACTATGTGTTGACTATGAACAGTAGAAAACAACTCAAGAAAAAGCTCAATGGTAAGATATTTCATTTAATCAAAGTTCATTTTTAGCTTAACATCTAGAAATGCAGATAATGAAGTATATTTCCATATGTTTCTACGTAATAACCTTTTCTGGTTATAAAAATTTCCCCGGTTCTACATCATTTTTCACTCAAGTCCATGCTCAAAGATCAATTGTGATTTACTGCATTTCTTTGAAAATTGTAGAAACTAATTTTATCCACCACAAGATATATTCTGTCATTAGTTTCTGCCTCTGAGAGCTTAAAGTTTTTTATCAGATATTTTTTGAGGAATACCTAAATTGAGAAGAGACATTTTCATCACTGTCACGATCACGGTCCTCCCGTTGTTCATTGATTTGCTCGAGTGGGCCCAGTAACATCTCCATCGTGAGACTTGTTGTTACTGTGTTTGGCATATTGAACACATCACAGGGAGCTTGCCAGGCTTTGCCGTGCGGGCGAGATACTCTCAGTAGCTTGCCAGGCTCTCCGAGAGGGGCAGAGGAATCGAACTTGGGTCGGCCATGTTGGCTGCATGCAAGGCAAATGCCCTACCCGCTGTGCTATCGCTCCAGTCCTTCATCACTGTATTTTACTCAAATTAGCCTTATTGAGATGGTTATTGCTGCACTGGGTTTCCTACCTCTGTTCTCTGATTTCAACCCAGAACATACACTAGAATCAGAATAATTTTTCTAAAAGATTGTGTCAGATTGTTAGATCTTCAGTGGTTCCTTGTTTCTGTTTCCATTGGTGCACAATGCTGATCCCATAATCTGATTTCTGAACTTACCTCTCCAATTCTATTTGCTATAACAATTTCATACACCATATGCCAGTCAAACTATTGTGATTATTTGAACACTACATGAACATTCACACATACCCCTTTCTACTTAAGCTGTTCCTTCAACCAGCTATAATAACCTCTTCACCATCTCTCTGTATCTGAATTTTATGTCTCTGCATTTGTTAAGGTAGAGTTAGGGCACTAGTTCAAAATAAAAGATTATAAAGTAGTAAAATAACTTTAGAAATTCACAGGTTGAGTTTTCTCTCAGATGTTATGTTTTGTTTCACAATGGCAGAGGCTTCTCTGCATGGTCATTTAACAACTTAGACTCCTTCTAAGTTATAAATTCAACAAGCTCATATTCTCCCATCCTATAGGGAAGTGTTTTTCAACCTTGTTGTGGTTGCATACCCTGCTTTCTGAATTTAGTTTCCTTCCTGTGACCCTCCTGTCCTACAGCTTGTCCCCTTAGTCAGTGCCATGACTCCCTAATACTTTGATTTTCATCTGTGACACTTGGAATATCTTGGGGGCACATGAAGAATCAGATAGCCCATGGTTGAGAAACATTGTCCTGGTGTGTGACCTTCATTTAAATAATCTTGACCTCCTTACATCATCCAATCCCAACTAGAGAGGAAGGTGCTTAAATCTCAATAGGCCCGGAAGTGTAAGTGCCACATCTGCTCAATTTCCACTGGAAACATTAGTCCCAGACACATGAATGTAAAGGAAGCTAAACAATGTAATTCAGGGATCGCTCCCTGATGGGGTGGCTTGAGGGATCATATTGGCTGCTAGGGATTGAACCCAGGGTTGACTGCTTGCCAGTCATCCTACCTGCTGTACTACAGCTCTTGCCCCATAGACATATTTTTCATATGGAACAAATTGATGCCACATTACTGAAATCTGCTTCAGATAGCATCTTTCTTCAGCCTTGCCTTAGACTCTTCAGCTGCAAGTATTTTCTTTTTCCTCTGAATTACTCTAGTCCAGGTCTTTTCCATCTGTCATATGTTCAAGAAGACCATTATTGTTACTGTTTTTGGCATACTAAATACGCGACTGGTAGCTTGCCAGGCTCTGTCGGGCAGGCTGGACACTCTTGGTAGCTTGCCGGGCTCTCTGAGAGGGACGGAGGCTTTCAGGACGGTCTCCAGTCACCATTACAGGTGCTCCTAGTCTACCAAATGCAAGCGTTTGGTTGACTGGCATATTGTAACGATCTGCAGCACCTGTTGGTTCACTCTTCACCGGTTGGCACCATTGCCGCTCCCACCAATGATGAGGTAGTGAACCACGGGATTCCACAGGACATCAAAAGAACGAGTGGCTGCCCACCTATGAGATGGTCAGACTTCTTCGTCAAGACCCTGAACAAACGGTTTGAGGCTCTTCATGTTCCTGCCTGGAGCGAGCAGACGTCATTGGGCTACAGTAGCATGAGACAGGGACAAATGGAGACATTACTGGCACCTGCTTGATCAAATCGATGAGTAATGGAATGTCAAGTGATCAAGTGATCATATGTTCAAGAACTAGTGTAACTTTTGCTACACTACAGACTCTGAATGAGTCAGAGTCTGCAGTTTATGCATTTCTAATAAGATCCAAGGTAACACTTAGGCTCAGTCATCAGAACAAACTTTGAGTCCAGAAGTTTTGAGTCTTTTTTTGTTCCCCTCTGTGCGATATAACTTTTCCTACTTCCCAATATGAATTAATGTACTAATCTTTGGCTCCCTTTTTGGAGCTAACTCAGATAATACTGGATTTATTTGATATCCCTTTCTCTTTGATATCTCTTGACTCTTTCCAGAACCAGGAAAAGAATCTTGGGGCCAGAAAGATAGTACTTTTTGTTGTTGTTGTTGTTGTTTCAGTGACACCCGGCAATGCACAGGGGTTACTCCTTGAGCTGCACTCAGGAATTACCCCTGGCGGTGCTCAGGGGACCATATGGGATGCTGGGAATCGAACCTGGGTTGGCCGCATGCAAGGCAAACGCCCTTGCTTTGCATGCAGCTCTGACTTCAGTTAAATCTCCAGAACTGCCTATGATCTTCCAATCACCATGAGCCTCCCTAGGAGTGATGTTTGAACACAGAGCCAGCAGTAAGTCTTGAGTACCCTGGACCTGACCTGGAAATTAAAAATACATTGAGTCTTGTACACTTAGAGTTGTGTCACTGTCACTTTCCTCCCATAGTTTATCAATTTGCTCTAGTGGGCACCAGTAACGTCTCTATTGTGAGACTTCTTGTTACTGTGTTTGGCATATCGAATACATCACGGGTAGCTTGCCAGGCTTTGCCATGTGGCTACGATACTCTTGGTAGCTTGCTGGACTTTCCAAGAGGTGGAGGAATCAAACTGGGGTTAGCCCGGTCGGCCACTTGCAAGGCAAACACCCTACCCACTGTGCTATCGCTCCAGCACTGAGTTATGTATTAAATAATTTAATATCTGATGGTGTCAACTAATTCAGAGTGTTGAGCATAAACTTTTGAAAGACTGCAGTCCTTATGCCAGATTCTGGTCTGTGCTTACTTGCAAACACTTGTTTGAAAATGGTCTGTTGAAAACCCTACCCCATACAACCCAGCCAAATTAAGGAAGAACTTGCCAGAGAAGCGAGCTGCGTTAAGTGGAATTCAACAAATTGAATCCACATTTTGTCAAGGACTTTTCCCCTCCATGTGCTGTGACATTTCAAAGGAAATGTTAATCCCCGTGTTTGAAATTCATTTCCAAAGCCCCCCACCCCTGTTTAACAAGAGTGATTTTTGTGCCCACAAAGCTTCATGAGCCAGTTTGATAAATTTTGTTGAAGAGATGGCTGATTTTTTTTTTTCACCTGGAAGCACTCAGTGATCTTCCATTTGGAAATCTCAAGCTGGGTTCCAATTAAAGCTGGATGAGAATGATTCTTTTCTACTTGGCACCATTTTCTCCTGTTTTTCCTCGCTTCTGACATATGTAGTCCTGTTCTCGGTTTTGCATGTGATAGTAGAAGAAGGGAGAAGAGATGTAGTAGAGTGAAGTTTAAAAACACAAGCTACTTTCTTATCTAGTTTGAGTCAATGGAGCAAAGAAGGCCTTTAACTTCATTCTGGCAGTTTTCGTTAATGAAACCTCTAACTGGAATTTTCTGCTACTTAGAATTTGTTGTAAATGAGAGGCAAGGCTGAGGTTTCTCTTTTGAACTTTGTATGACAAAAGGCATTACAAACATGTATATGTTACCAAGATTTTAGAAACTTTTAGCCTAGTTGGAAAAAATAAAAAGGGTTTCCACCTTGCTGGTACAAGTTGCTAAGGTACCAATCACAGACTACGGAATTGGAGTGTGGTCCTTACCTATATTTCTCACTTGCAGGCACTTTCCTTAGCATCACCTTACCAGGCCTTAATTCCATTACTGGGTTATGGAATTGAAAAAAGGATAGTCACCTATGGTTAATTTTTAAACATTTATATTAGTTCTTCTGTGCCCCTACTGTGATTATGTACAGGTATGTGCTATTAGCACAGTGTTCTAATAGCATATTAGAGCATATTCTAATTACCATTACTGATGTTACTCTATATCAATGTGATAAGTATGTATTTTTGACCTACTATTCCATAATCTCTCTAGATGAAACCTTATAGTATGACATTTTCTTTTTCCTTCAGGGGAGAGCGCAAACATAGTCCCCCCACTACCACAAATTATGCAGTCGAGTTTCCCACATTTGGGGAAATCGCAGCAGTCAGCACATCTGGAGTGCAATGGATAAATAAGCCTTGTCCTGGGAAAACCACCTTTGTGATCATGGTATCTCCCCTTCCAGGTAACTATTAGAATCGCAAATTAAGAACAAAAAAATATTCCCAATAGGAATGGGACTAAGGTTAGATAAACCAGGCCCTTAAGGGAGAAAAAATATAAGGATATGCTCAAACATGCTGACCTTATAATTCTATGACACTGAGATTAAGAGCCTCCTTAGCATTTGTCCCAATGGACCTGGATCACCTCATTCTACCACAGGTATAGAATCACAATTTAAGAACAAAAATATTTCCAATACAAATGGGACTAGGGTTAGTTAAGCCAGGCCCTTAAAGGAGAAAAATTTAAGGATATGCTCAAACATGCTGACCTTTTACTTCTAAGACTCTGAGAGCGAGAGCTTCCTTAACATTTGTACCAAATGGGCCTGGATTGCCTTATTCTACCCCAGATCCTGATTATCAAGACAGAAAGCCGAAAATACCACTTTCTGAGAATTTGGATAATAGTCTATAATCCCTGCTCCACATCCACCCCCTTTCTTTTTGGTAAATGTGGGGAGCCTACAAATACAGACACTAGAGAATGAAAATGAAATTTTAGCAATCATGATTTTATTCATCACATGGATATAGGACTGGCATCATCTTCATTTGCCTTCTATGCTACAGCTGAACAAAGTCTTGACATAGATTTTATAATGAGGATGCATTCATTATTGACTTTGAGACTCTCCTTGGACTTAACTTTTGACACTGCGTCTTGATTTCAAAGCCCCCTGATTTTTCAGACCATCAATGGGACATCTAAATGCAAACAAACACATCATTCCTAGCCACTATCTAACTATATTTCACTTGCAAGGCATATGTGAATACCACCTAATTAGCTGTGACATGCATTTTGGCATATGTCGGAAGTTAAAGCCACTTCCTTAGAGGAACTCAAACTCCAAATTTATCTTTATTAAGGCCTTGTCCAAATGATAAATATACACTGCCTCCTTGCTATCTACTGCTTGGAAATAAATCACTTTAGGATTGATTTGCTAACGGCTTTCTTCGCTCTAAGGGTCCTCCTGCCCCGGAGGTCACACTGTCCTTCTTCACAAACGCTGATAACCAAATAGAAGACACCATGTTGTCCATACAGTAAACAAAGAAGAGAACCTGGAGCAAGAGGATGCCCCTTTGCACAACTAAGACAATCCATCCCCCACACCCTTACTATGTTTTGTAATGAGGGTGGGAGCAGGGGGAGGGGGAAGTCCCCCAAACAACTGTTGAGTATATGAGTAGATAGATGGGATGCATTCACTCTGTTTTCAGTTAAGTACTATGAAATTTGGGATAGCAGGTCTTTGATTAGTGTCCCATTGTTACAGCACCGGTAAGGGAAAAAAAATTCCCTGGGTGACATTGAACAAATATTGAAAACTTGCTTCTTTATAAAGCCACTTCTCTTTAAGTTGCTTTTTCCAAAAACCTATCGAAGATGGTGAGGACTTGTGGTACATTGTCAGGAATTACAAACTCTTTCTGGAGTTTCCCACTTAATATAAATACAATTGACCTGTATACAACTTGAGGCTTTATAAGCATCAGTCTGCTGCAGTCTGCTTTTTATAAATGTAAACTCTCATCTGGGGATTCAGCCAATGACAGGCGCTGAACCCTCTGATAGAGAAACTAATTTGCACATAAGCTGATCCCCTTAGTTCAAACACACAGTTCAAATGTCAGCTAAACAGAACTGGTTGACTGTGGGGAATTCAAGAAAACAGAACTTGCATCTCCTCTCTATGATGGCCTCATTTTTCCACATGGGAGTCAACTCTTGTGAGATATACTGATTTTTCAAGAAAAGGAGGTAATGATCTTTTAACACAATAGTTCCTATTTTTTAACTGTTGGAAAGTTTAATAAAAAAAATGGGTGAACTTCTCAGCAGCATATGTGTGTATGGGAGCAGTAACTAAGGCTGCACCTGCAGTGTTTGAGGGGATCATGTGGTGCTGGGTGTCAAACTTGGTGACTTGCACATGCAAGGCAGGTAGTCTGCTCCTTCGAGCTATCTCCCTAGCCCTAAATAATTTTTAAGTCACTCTGGTGGGGATGCAAATAGAATATATATGAAGAAAAGCTGTTTCTCATTAAATCCTGAAGCCAATCTCTAGCATTTTTGTGTTTCCTTGATCAGGACCAGAACTCTTCACTCACTTGGTGACTATAACTATTCAATCAGTCAGATGCCAAGATGTGAAAATATTCTTTTTAATAGTTTAATTATGATCTTGTATCACTGCACAGAGATGGCTTAATCCGCTTGCAGTTTTAGCTCCCCCACATTTCCAGCATAACACAACTTTAGGTTTTCAGGAATTAGATGCAACCGATTATCCAACCTTTATCTTAAAATGAGGCCCTAATAACTCCATGGAAAACATATTTCTTGAGGAAAAAGGGAATGAAAATAGTGCTGTCTTAAGCAGCTTGACTTTCTTAAATTCTTTCTATTTTGCTTGTCTCAACTGTTTACTTCAGGGTTCTTATGACTTCTCCTGGCCTATTTCTTAATTTGGCAGTTGTTGACTGATAGAGGTAGAGCTGGTATTCAGATGTCGACTTTCTGAGGAAATGTATTCTCTAAATTTATTCATTGTAGGTCGAAGTAACACTTTTTTGATTTGCCCTGTGTCCTGTGTGTTTTACATCATCTTGGAGTTTTCCTGACCTTGTGATCTCAGATGTGAAATTACTTAACGCTGAATGAAAATTCAGGTATCTTCCAAAGATTCTTTTGGCTAACAGCCAGGGTAGCTTCATAAACTTGTTGCTGACTCACAGAATATATTTATTTGATATTATTGATAGCCCCCCCAACCCATCTGAGTTTAGTCAACTTTCCTAGTACATTGGGAAGGCTCACACTGAGGTCCACACAAAGGTTTATTTCATCTCACACTACCTATGACACTCTGTCTCATCTCCTTGCCCCTCTGTTAAATATTATCCTGGAAATGATGAAAAGTTTCTCCTCTATACTGACAAAGTATCCTAACCTTTCTGGTGGCCAACAGTCAAATCTAATTGTTAGGTTAGAGGTTCACCTTTCTGAACTTAGAAAAAAAATCTTAAAAATTTATATAACAGTGGGAAACCTTATTCTTTAAAATATTAGTCTGTCACAACTTTATTTGAAGTAATCATTCCTGCTAGAAGCGGTCTTGCTTTCTATTCTAGCTGCAGAGCTTCATAGAGAGGGATTTTGGATCACCATTCCACATTGCTCTTAATTCTAGAACATCTAAGGAGACAAAACCCTGGGTCTACTTCTCAGCTCAGGACTTATGGTGACCCTATTATGTAATATCCTGCTCTACTTTAAGATCATCAAATCATGGCTTTGTTTATTTTGAGCTACACTCTTCTTCTGTCTGCCCCCTTTCCAAAGCAACTTTGTCACTTCTTTTAATGACTTTTTTCATCGTTCATCTAGTGTGCATTCTCCTTTGCTATATGTTAATACAAAGAGCTTTGCATGATTACAGAGATTTCTGGGGAGGTTTTATCAGAAAGGTGCTCCCACCTCCTGCTATAAACATTTATTAAAGTATTTGTCCCAGTATATCCAATTCCTTTTCTAAGAGGATTTATTGTCCATTATATTATAACTCCTATGAAGGAAAGGAATTTTGCTTTCTTCTGTACTATACTATAGTGCTTGAGCCATGTTAAAAGGATGAACTAATGAATTCTGTTAATGGAATGGGGCAAAAAAATGTATGGTGGTTGTGGCACTGACCTTACATGCAGTTGTTTCTGGTTTGATCCCCTGCACCTTTAGGAGTGATCCCTAAGCACAGAACCTGGAGTAAGCCTTGAGTGTCACTACCACCACCATCACCAAAAAAGAAGAGTAGAGTACCTCACTTAAGCTTTACTTGATACTAGTCTAGTTTTCTATAGTCAAAGACTTCTTTCTGAGATAGACTCTTAGGTTGTTTGGGACACTATAACAAAATATCATAGATCAGGACTGGAGTGATAGTACAACAGGTAGGGTACTTGCTTTGCACACAGCTGACCCATGTTCATTTCCAGGACCTTTTATGGTCCTTGAGTGCTTCCAGGAATGATTCCTGAGCAGAGAGCCAGGAGTCAGCTCTGAGCCTGACTGGGTGTGGTGCCAAACTAAAACAAACAAGCAAAAATACCACAAACCACAATGCTAAAAACAGAAGTTTATTGCTCGGAGTTCTGGAGTCTGCAAAGTCTAAAATTGAATGCCAACATGATTTATTTCTGGTAAAGGTCTGCGTTTGAGGTGCAAATAGTCTACCCTCTAGGGTCTCTCTTAATTTGATTTTTTTCCTATTTACCATTGGTTTACAATATTATGGAATTTCAAGAACTTATTAGCACCCCCAATACAATGCAATTGGCACCACTTCCTCCACCAAAGTTCCAGTACCATCCAACCATAGAAGGAGCCCGATTTTCATTCCTCCCCTGTCCTCCCTTCTTTCTGTGGTAACTACTAAGATTCTGCTGAGTCCAAGAGTTAGTTTTGTTTCTGGCCACTGTGTTTCCTCTTGTAATTCTTACTCACATACGAGAGAACAGCGCCAATTTTACTCATGAGGCCTCCTCCATCATGACCTACTCACCTCCCAAAGGCTTAGCCTTCTAAGAACTAGGACTAAGAACTTCTAAGAACTAGATAGTGTTTCAACAGGAAAATGTTGAGGGGAACACAAACAATAAATGTAAAGGGATCTCTAGCCCAATGCTTATCTAGCTGTATTTTGGATGAAATATTTAACATCTTTTATATATTAAGGAGCTTTTTTGGGGGGTGGAGGGTCTGTAAAAATGAAGATGGTGTTCTCTATCTTACTGGGTGTTAAATGAAATGAATTATGTAAAGGGCTTATGGAATCTGGCACATGATAAATGCTTAGTAAACATTAGCTGACATTTTTCATTTTTACATCTCTTGGCCTTCATCTTTCCAGATGCCATGTGCTCGCATATCTCAATACCTCTGCTCCTTTTCAGCACTAA